GAGGAAAAAAGAGCCATAGTTCAATCACAGGAGCCGAGAGAGAACCAAGAAGTTCTGCATCACAGAAGGCAAAAGAAGAAAGCAGTAAGGAGGTGGCATTGAGTCCTCAAGAGTTGTGTCCTACCTGGAGTAGAGGCAAAAGCTACCCAGGAGGGCTTCCCAGAGGAGGCAGCCAGGAGCTGCTGTGAGCCCAAGAACACGAGCTTCATGGGAAAAGGGGGCCTGAAAGTGAGCGTGAGCTTGGCAAGACACTGCCAGAAAAGGAGGGAGGGAGGGAGGGAGGGTTCCAGTGGTTATTACCAGATCTACACAAATATTGTTGTTTTGACTGGTGGTGGAAATAGGTTTATTTTTCCCCAGGAACCACAAGTGTGATGTGCAGGTTCATTTGAGAACACGATACCATGGGAAGAGCAATAGTCTCTGGCCTCTCTTTTCCCACTTCTCCTGGTGAGACACATAGACACATTCAGTCATAAAAAAAATAATCCAAACCACAAATGTTCAGTCTACAAATGCTGAGGGTCTCCTGGAAATATCTAATTTGTTACAATAATTTTTTAAAATCCCACTTTTTCAATACATAAAGCACTTAAAATAGTGCCTGGGAGATTTAAAAGCCCATGCACACCTTTGCTATCATTTGGAGACTGACTATCTCGACAACAAAGACCATGGACACTGCAGGCAGATCATCTGGGTGGCTGTGTGACAGTGGCCTAGTTTCTGAACCTCTCTGTGCCTCTGTTTCTCCATCTAACGGGGATAACAGTACCTTTCTCACAGGGTTGTGAGGATTATATGAATTAATACGTGTAAAGATCTCAGAAAACAGTGTGTAAGCAAATTCCCTGCCCCCCTAACCCTGTGCCATAGACTCACACCCCCCTCTCCTCCCAAATCAACCACATTTTTGGGCAGTAGTGTCCTTAGGACTATGGATTATGAGGGTGGGCATGGAGGGGAGAGAGAGGGAGAGAAAGAAAAGAAAAAGAGGAAGAAGGAGGAGAGAAAATAGAAAAAGAAGGGCCCCGTGACACCCCTCTCTGCCCACTCTCAAGGAGTCTCCATTCTGAGGAGACGCTGCCTGCACCAAGTAAGCAAAGTGCCAGGGGTGGGCTGGCAGGTGTAAGCAGCTCAGACCTGCTTAGGGTTCAAAGCCTCTTCATGCTGGGTTTGGCTGGGAACAAAGGTGTAGGCCAGTGGCCACCATGTGCAGGTTTGGCTCAGAGAGTCTGATTTGGGGATCATTTGCTCTTTCAACAGGTTCTTATGCTGAAGATGCTGGTCTAGGAAGGACAGCTGGAGAACCACTAGCTTAGGAGCTGGAACCTGGATAGACCTTGGCCTGCATCCCGGTTCTGCTCGCAGGAGCTGTGTGACCTTGGTCAGGTCCTGCAACCTCTTGGGTCTCAGTCTTCCCACTTCTAAATGTGGGATCTAATACCAGTCTTCAGCACAGCCTTGAGGACTCCATGAGGACAGGTAGGCAAGTGACCAGCGCAGGCCTGACCCCCCAGGGAGCGGGCTCTGTGACTGTGGCTGGTCAGCCTCCGGTGGCAGGTACTGCTGGTTTTCCTCCAGTATCTGAGCTCACTAATGCACACCCAGTCATTGGCAGACACACACGGCTGCCAGAAAAGGACATTTTTCAGGCCATTGAGGGTGTGCCTTGTGAAAGTGCGACCTAGTGAGTTTTATATTAGATGCAAAATTGCTTTGATACTGAAACAGAAGCTACTGAAATAGAAGTGCTCTCAGTAACATAGAAATGGATTTACAGCTCAAATAGAGGCCTGGTTTATGTCCCTTCTATCTTGTTGCTCTATTATTCTGGTTAAAAAACAAAATTCACAAATTCAGAGATCTAATTGGCTTTGTTAAAAGATTCGTGAATTGGGCAGCATCTCAGCTACATACTGCAAAGGCTCACACAAAATGGAGGGCGTTTTTAGGCAAAAAGAGGGTGGGACAAAAGAAAAGATTATTTCAGGTAAAGCCAGGAGAGAGTGGGTTGGTGTGGGGGTGTCTTATCTCGCAGATGACCTTGCTGGTGTTGATTAGGAAACTCAAAATTGATTAGTTTACACTTTTGAGAGAGGTTGAAACTGCAATAGCTATGAAATCTGGGTAGGAGCCCAGCACGAACAACTCCATTTGGGGCCTGTTTTCCTGTTTTTCACATTCTCAATGTAAGACCTGTTCACCTCCTCATATAGGATGACTGCTCCAGCTCCTGCCATTGCATCCACATCCCATTCAGTCAGAAGAGAAGAAAGGGGAAAGAAATGTCCTATTTCTTCCCTTTCTAGTCACAAATAGTAGCTAAAAATATCATTTCTAGTCATGTTCTACTGGCCAGCTCTTAGTTGCCCGAACATCTAGCTGTTAAAATGCTATTTCTATGGAAGAAGGGCAGAAAGGCCAGGACAGAGTCAGAGTGGTATGTAACCCCTATTCATCCTTCCTTTCTCCTACTACTGAAATGTCGATGTCATGGCTGAAGCTTTACACAGCCTTCTAGGACCCAGAGATGGAAACTCTGTTAAGGAAGAGCATCAACTATCTGGAAGGGCCTTTGACCTGGTGACTTGTGTCAACAACACCAGCCTGAGCTGCTTCCCTCTCAGCTCTCTACATGAGAGAGAAGTAAGTATCTCATTTAACTCATTGCTATTTGGGATCGTCTGTCACTGGCAGCCAAACCTAACCTCAACTGAAGTCTTTTTCCCAGTTATTCGAGCTACTCCTCTTTCGAGCGCTCCAATTGAGCCCCAAGATCGCCAGTCATCACGTGGTTGGGAATTGGACAGGGATGGGGGTTCATAGGAAGTTCTACTATTTGGTTGAGTTGGCCCCTGTGCGGTTGTCCCTTCCTGATTTCCTCCTTCCTCTTCGACATACCTCTCCCCTATAGCAGGGTAGTCTGTATTTTTCACTTTGTCCCTTCTGACTTTCTTCTTTTCCTTCTCCCTTCCTTCCTTTCTGAAATGAAGGGCAGATGACCTCTGTGAGGCAAAGGGTCACATCTGGGGAACACTTAGTTCCTCAAATGTAGGGTAACTGGGCAGCTACTGTTCTGAGCCCACGTTCCAGGAGGGGGTGGATTGATTTGCATAAATCCTTCGAGATGTTCAGGGAGAGGAATGTGCTGCGCAGTTTACAGCAGTGACCTGTGGCCGTGAGATCTGTGGGCAGATTGGACTGAGTGGTTCCTGTTCTGTCTGCTTAGCCTCAGCACTTGACCTCCTCCTCTCCCCTACCCAGAGTACCCAGTTCACTCCAAAAACTTGTTGTTAGGCCTCAAATCTGGACCTGTCTCCCTAGTTATGCTGCCACCACCCCAGTCCAAAGTACCCTTTTCTGCCATCTCATAGCAGCCCCCTCCAGTCCATTCTCCACGCAGCCGCAAGGGAGCCTTCTGGAAAGACAGATCTGCTGTGCTCCTGCTGAAAACACCTCATTGATTTCCCAGTGCACTTACCACAATGTTCAAGCCTGAAACATGACCTCAAGGCCCCACAGGTCCAGCGCCTACTTACCAGCATCGTCCTGCCTTCCTGGCACAGCGGCCACATAGACCCTTTCTTGAGTCCTCAGACAGCCCCTCTCTCTGCCACCTTGAGGCCTTTGTCTGAGCCATTTCCTCTGCCTAGAACACCTGCGGGGTCTCCCCACCCCTCATCCCACACACACTCCGGCCCTTTCTCCCATGGGTGCCTGACTCAAAGGACATCTCAGAGGCCTGACAGGACGAGGCCCTTAAGCCTGCCATATGACTGAAACCTTTATGGCACCTATCATACGAGCTTATCACTTTCTATTTATCTGTGTGTTTATTTCAACTTAATTCAACACAATGAATATTTATGGCGTCCCTACTATGTGTCAGCTCCCCTTCCACAGCAGCTCCTCTGGCCCAGTGCCAGCATTTGGGGTCTCCTTTCTGACAGCCCCTCTGAATCTGCTGTTTGCCCTCAAGGGCCCAGACCAGCCCAGCCAGGAGACCAGGGCCTCTCTCCCAGCTGTCCTTTCCAGGGTCCCCCTGGCCTGGCAGTCGGGGCCAGTGGAGCAGGTAAGCATGAGCCAGGCACCTGGAGGCGAGTTCTGGATCAGCTCTGGACACAAGCTGGGGTCAGTCACTGCCCTCTCTGGGCTTCAGTGTCCTCATTTTTAAAAAGAGTAAGTCCTTTGGTATAACTTTGGATGAATCAGGCCTAATTGGTGTCATTGTGCTTTGTAGTTGTTGCAAATTGAAGGTTTACGGCAACCATCTTAAATGGCTTGAATTTACCAAGTAAGAGATTTGGAGCTGGCTCAAATCTTATCGGTGCCATTATCCCAACAGCAAATGCCTACTTTGTGTCTCTGTGTCACATTTATTTAAGATCTATACATTTCTGTAGACCTAATTCTATTGCACATTTAATAGGCTACAGTCTAGTGTAAACCTAACTTTTATGTGTGCGAGGAAACCAAAAAATGTCCTTATTGTGTTATTTATCACAGTGGCCTAGCACTGAACCAGCGAGTTCTCTGAGGTGTGCCCTTAGGCTCTGAATAACTGATGAAGACCTTTATGGAAAGTCCCTGGTGGATTTTAGCTTTCATTCATTCACCATTCATCCATTCACTCGTGGACACACATTTATTGAACATCTCCTTTAAGATGAGTTTCCTGTGAACAGAGACTATGTTCTATTATCCATTCAGTTGCTCTATTCCTTTTGTTTGTTATTCTTTGTAGATGTATTATTTTTATTGGGGCAACATTGTTTTACAATACTGCACACAGTGCAGGGGAAGAGGATCACCCCTCCTCAGATGTGCCTTGCCACATCACACCCGCAAACAAAGCACCCCTGATGCTCCATCCCAGTCCACTGGGCCACCGCCCCATTGATCACCCTGACCCCTCTCTGGTAGCCTCAATTTGACAGCCAGATTTCTAGGGTTGGTTTTAGTTTAGTCATGTCTGTTCGCCTATTTTGTTTCTTGAAAAAAAAACGGAATGCTTCACAAATATGCGTGTCCTCCTTGTGCAGGGGCTGTGCGAATTCTGTGCCATTCCAATGTTAGTGCAGGGGCTACCAAAATGAGCCTCTGCCATGCTTGGTACCTCTTACTTGGTAAATTCAAGCCATTTAAGATGGTCATTGAGGGCCTCCCCGGTGGCGCTGGCGGTTGAGCGCAGCGCTGTGAAGCTGCCCGCAGCCTCTGCAGCGCCGGTTCGATCCCGGCCGGCCAGCGAGGGTCCCACATGGCGCGCAGACCTCTCCTGCCGCCCGCTGCTCCCCTCAGCAGTGTACTTCAGTCCTTCTGCCTGCTCTGCTCCCCGCTCTGGCTCTGGTGAATTCTCTCACCCTCCCGCGCTTCTGACAGTACCCAGTGCTTGTATAAATAAATAAAAATAAATCTTAAAAAAAAAAAAATGATGGTCATTGAAACATGTATTTAGAGCCATTCTTAGGGGGTTGGGGGTGTTTTATAGTCAAACTTTGTCCTTTTATTTTTTAACACCTTCCTTTCATGTTTTGTTTGAATTTTATTTCCATTGTCTTATCTGTTACTTGTATAGATTTATTTATTAGAGGTTATAGTGAGATCTATACCCATGATCTATTTAATAGTTTGATTTCAAGTTCATTCTAATGGCCCATGTTTTTTGGTTTTTTTTTTTCCAAGATTTATTTTTATTTACTTGTGCATACAGGAACTAGGGTCTAGGCCAGAGGTGCAGGGGGAGGGGGTGAGAGGGTTCAGAGACAGAGTGGGGAGCAGAACAGGTGGATCTACTGAAATACACTGCTGAGGGGAGCAGTGGGCGAGTCAGGAGACGTCTGCTGCACCACGTGGGTCACCTCCCTGGCTGGGGATTGAACTCATGCTGCAGTGACTGACAATAGCTTGATAGGACTGAGACTTTAACCCCTGCACCACCAGGGAGGCCCTGGCTCAATTTTTCACTTTCCTCCTCCATGTTGAATAATTTTATCTGTTAGTTCTAGATGGGATTTGTTTTTATTTTATAGTAGTCCCTTTAGTATTTCTTTCAAGGCCAGTTTGGTGGTGATGTATTATTTTAATTTCTGTTTTTCTGTATAGTTTCTTATCCCTCCTTCAATCTTGAATGATAGTCTAGCCAGACAAAATATTATAGGTTGGAAATCTTTTTCTCTGAGGGTTTTAAATAGTTTCTGTCATTTTCTTCTTTACTGCAAGTTTCCACCAAGAAGTCCACAGATGGTCTAGTAAATGTTTCCTTGCTGTAACTCTTCTTTCACTAGATGATTTTAGTATTCTTTCCATCACTATTTTTCAGCAGTTTGATTGTAATGTGTCTTGGGTTTTTCTGTTTGGTATTATTTTGTTTGGGGTCCTTCAGTCCTTTGAATTGGGATATTTTCTTTCTTTCCCAGTGTAGGGTAAAGAAAATATCAGGCTTTTCTGCCCTTCCGCCATCAGGATAGATGATGGATCCTTGTCCTGAATGCATGCCTGATGGTGGGCACCTGGAATAGGGTGTGGGCATAGGTAGATGAGATTCAGCTGAGCTAAGACTGTGCTTTTAAGGGCGGCGTCACGGGGGACGCCAGGAGCAGCAGCAGCAGCAGCAGCAGCAGCAGCAGCAGCAGCAGCAGCAGCAGCAGCAGCAGCAGCAGCAGCAGCAGCAGCAGCAGCAGCAGCAGCAGAAGTAGAAGCCGAAGCAGAAGCCGAGAAGCAGCAGAACGAACGCTAGAGAGCCCAGATAGAGTGAAGACTTGCCTGCCAGCCTCCCAGCCCCCCAGCCAGCACCCCTGCCTGCCATATGCCTGGTGAACCCCAAATAAAAAACCTGCAAAACTACTGAGGACTCTGACTCCTCCTTTACCCGGTCTGCATGGGATCAGAAAACCTGCACTGTGCCTGTTCCTGCCCCTACACCCAGATTAGGGAGCTTCTTTCCTATTTTTTCTTGAAATATATTTTCTATGCCTTTCTCTCTCATCTTCTGGGACCCTCATGATATGGATATTGTTTCTTTTTAAATTTTCCCAAAGAGTTCTTAAACTATTTTCATTTTTTTTTTAATTCTTTCTTCTCCTTGCTGTTCTATTTGTGTTTTATGGCACAATGCACTCAAGCTCACTGATTCTATCCATCTGAATTATTAAATTCAGTTAAGGTGTTTTTAGGTCTATTAGTTCAGTTTGAAGCGTTCTTGTATTTTCTCTATCATGATTGTATTCCAGCTTTTGTTCATCCATTGTTTTTCTTATTTCAACAAGCACAGCTGTAACTGTTACCTAAACTCCTCATCAAGCAGGTTACACAGTTCTGCTGGATTAGCACTTCTCTTGTGATTTTATTGCTCCAGCATTTGTGGGATGTTGTTTTGTCTCTTTATTTTTAGTTTTTATGGGTTGAGACAGGAGCTTTCTTTTCTTATCTTGATGAATTGGCCTTACATTACATTTATAGTTACAAGATGTAATCCTAGATTATTTTCCTGGGATCCTTGGGTGACCAATGCCTCTGCACCTGTTCAGATGACCAGAATACTAACACCTGCAGGGTACAGGAGACAGAGCTGGTGCAGTAGGGACTGGGAGTTTGCTGCTCATGAGCACCATGCGGTTCAAGCCTCCTAAGGGGCTATGGGTATCCAAGGTGGGGATGGTGATCAGGGAATCTATAGTGACCTTCCCCTACCCAGGCCAACTTCTTGAAGTATCCCAAATAATCGTATGCTAGCTTCAACGCCTTCGCTGTAATTCAGCTCTGGTATATGATCTCTGCAACCAGTCATAGATATAACACCTGGAAGGAACTGGTCACTGCCTGAGTGTGTTCCCTTTGCCTTTCAAGTACAGAGTCTTGCCCAGGAGCTCTTGCTCCTGTTGCTAGGGCCAGATGCTTTGAACTCTGGTTAATGACAATGTACCATTTAGTATTATCTCCCCTTTGGCTGTGGTGGACATGAGGCAGGTGATTTGTATAACAAAGCTCAAGCTGCAGAGAAAAGCATAGTCTGTTAGGAGACACAGGTGAGCCAATCTAGCCCTCCGTAATAGTGGGTTCCTACTATTCAGGTCAGGGTGCCTGCCCCATGAGCAATTGAAAAATCAGCACCTTACACAGACCCCAGACTGGCTGCCACCAAGACTATGTACTGTCCTCAAGATCCCTTATTGAGGGGTGCAGTGTTTCATCTCTGGCTTTGGGCACCTAGATGCTATCTAGCTCTGTAGCATCTGGGTTTGTAGTTATCGATTGAGTTACCGCTGTGGCATTCTACCTCGGGTCTCTGCAACCCTACCCTGTAGTTCTCCAGCTGTAGACCATCCGTCCTGCAACCGACCCCATGTACCTCCTCTGCAGCGCAGTCCCTGATGTGGGCATGAGCAGAAGAAACCTTTTGTATTGCAGCTGCCCCTTCCTCTGTTGGGTTGCACAGTCCTGAAAAAGCTCCAAGCAGTTAAATAGTAGTTCTTCCTACCCTGTGTTGTCCCTCTTGATGCTGTTTATCCACTACAGATGGATATATAATCCAGTTGTAAATACATGGAAGAATCAAACCTGGTGTCTTCACTCTCCCACCATCTTGCAGGACTCTCCAGAAACCCTATTTAAGTGAAGCTTGGAGGCAGAGAATACCCACTTATTAGTAAATCAGCAAACCAGCTTGTCTTACATAGCCCACAGGAGGTGCTGCTGTTTCCCACTCTGCTAGAACTGAGGGGGAGGTCCTCCAGAGGACTATTTAGGGGACTGTTGAGCTTGGATTCTGGGAAATGAATGTGGATCTTGTCATAGCTCACTCTCCAATCTGCCTTGCTATTGTTTTGAATAAACACATTTCATTATTGGAATAACTGATTGATTGATTTTTCTTAGGTCAAGAGTTGCATGGATCATCTGCAGATTCATTCACTCTTGTCATGTATTTGAATTTGACTACCTGCTGCTGAGACAGACATGTGGCCTAGGCTTTGGGGCTGGTTGTTAAAGGTGATGAGCATTGGGAGAGGAACAGAATCTGCACTGCCCCATAGGACAGTGGGGAGTCACACACTGTTCTTTGGACCACATTCTGTCCCCTCCAGGTGTCACAAAATCCCACTTTGTTTTGATGGGATGAGGAAATAGACTCCACCTCTTGATAGAAAGTTTCTAAACATGGAAACAACCCAGTGTTCACTGATGGATGAGTGGGTAAACAGATCCATCCACTCGTACAATTGAATATTGCTTTAGAGAGGAATGACAGGAAGGTTCTAAAGAGCAAGTGAAAAAGAAATATGTTATGATCATTTTTGAAAACATGATAGGGTAAATAAAGTTGATCAGGCTTGTATGTCATTGGCCTCTGTGGCTATCACCTGTAGCCTTGATCTTGTTAACGCAGAAGGCACATGGGTGTGGGGCACACGTGGCTGACTATGGACACCTGAGCATGGGTGTGTGTGCATGTGCAAGTGTGCACACCTGTGCCTAGGAGGGAGGGAATAAAAACGGAGGTACCTGGGGAAGGGGACTCATGTTGCTGACTCTCTGCTGTCCTATTTCCCCTGCTTACCATTAAGACCTTTGAAAATTATGCCAAGGACTCCAAAATTCTCTCATTAGAATCAACAGTGAAACTACCCAGCCTGGGATGGTTGCAAAACAACAACCTACCATAAAAGTGGAGAGGAAACCTCCTTGCTTTTTTCTTTACTTTTTAATTGTGATTAAATACATGTTACATAAAATGTACTATCAATCATTTTAATGTACTGTTCAGCAGCAATAAATACATTCACACTGTGGTGCAACCAACTACCATCCATCCCCATAACTCCTCATTTTACAAAACTGAAATGCCATACCTATTAAACAGTAACTCCCCATTCTCAACCCCTGTCAACTGCTATTCCACCTTCCATCTCTATAAATCTGACTCTAGGGCCTCCCCGGTGGCGCAGCGGTTGAGCACTGGGTTGCGAAGCTGCCCGCAGCTTTTGCAGCGCCGGTTCCATCCCCGGCCGCTGGGCGAGGGTCCCACATGGCGTGCAGACCTCTCCTGCCGCCCGCTGCTCCCCTCAGCAGTGTATTTCGTCAGTCTGCCTGCTCTGCTCCCC